TCTTCCCTTTGACTTTTGGTAAGGGGAACTCTAACTATTTGTTTACCCCCAGTACAGGGCCCTTTTATTGCTTCTTTACCCCTTTATACAAATCCGTTATTTTACTTTTCCTTTGAACTGCATCTTTAATTTCTTACTTTGACCTTTTTGGTCATTGTGTCTACTTTCCCTTTGCCTTTAGAACGGGACATTCGGAACGATCTTACATTTTACCTTAGTCAGGGCATCTCCTTAATTATCTTCATTTTATTGAGTGGTAACCCCCTGAAAATTTTTCTTTGATTGAGTTTGGGCACTGGTGAATCTGTTTTTTTCCTTGAACGGGGTCTCTGAACTGCTTTGGATTGGACAGGTGCATTTTTTTTGCTTCTTTTAAAACCTTATCATAAATCTTAAAATTACTTACATTTGCGAGACATTTTAATCTATGTCTGTCTTCATTTATTTTTAAAAAGGTACACTGGTGAACTGACTTCTTTTGAAACCAGTCAGGCTCACTTAACTTTATCTTCATTTCCCACCCAGTTTTCAAATTCTTTTAACTAAAAAAAAAAAAAAAATTTTTTTTTTAAAACTTATCCCTCCAAAAAAGGAAAATTCCCCCTTTGGGGGGCCGTTTTGGGCATTAGTGTCACCTCCTTTAGAGGCTCCTTGGTGTCACCCCCTAAATGTCACCCGGGGCGGCCCCCCCCCCTTTACGACGCCTCTGCCGATTTCCCTTAACCTTTCTTCGTAGGACAATCCCCTTAGCTCTGGAACTAGCCTTATTGTAAACCTTTGCACTTTCTCTAATTTCTTGACGTGCTTGACCAGGTGTGGATTCCAAACTGGTGCTGCATACTCCAGTATGGGCCTGACGTACACGGTGTACAGTGTCTTGAACGATTTCTTACTGAGGTATCGGAACGCTGTTCTTAGGTTTTCCAGGCGCCCATATGCTGCAGCAGTTATCTGGTTGATGTGCGTCCCATGAGATGTGATCGGTATTATACTCACCCCATGATCCTTTTCCTTGAGTGAGGTTTGCAGTCTTTGGCCACCTAGCCTGTACTCTGCTGTCTTCTTTGCCCTTCCCCGATCTTCATGACTGCAATGGGAGGGGTTAAATTCGAGGAGCCAGTTGCTGGACCAATCTTCCTTTGTGGTCTTTCCTGATCCTCATCCAAATTAATTCTCCTCATTAACTTCACATCATCTGCAAACAGGGACACTTCTGAGTCTATTCGTTCTGTCACGTCATTCAAATAAACCAAGAATAGCACTGGTCCTAGGACTGACCTCTTTGGAACCCCGCTTGTCACAGGCGCTCACTCTTATACCATTGCAGTGCCCTTCCTGATATGTGCCTGATCGCCTAGCTTTTGCACTAATCTCTGGTGAGGAACTGTGTCGAAGGCCTTATTGCAGTCCAAGAAAATGCAATCTACCCACCCGTCTCTCGTGCGTTACTTCCGTTACCTTGTCATAAAACTCCATTAGATTTGTGACAAAGGATTTTCCTTCCCTGAATCGGTGTTGGTTGTCGTATATAAGGTAATTTCGTTCTAGGTGCTCCACCACTCTCCTCCTGATAATCTTCTCCATGACTTTGCATACTATATAAGTCAGTGACACTGGTCTGAAGTTTAGTGCCTCGTGTCTATCTCCTTTAAAATGGGGACTACACTTGCCGTCTTCTACACCTCAGGTAGTTGCCCAGTTTCAATGGATGTGTTGAAAATTGTTAGTGGCACACAGCGTTTCTACTTCTTCTCTAAGAACCCATGGAGAGATGTCCGATCCCACCGCCTTTGAGGTATCAAGGTCACTTAGCAGCTTCACCTCCTCTTTGGTTATGTATATTTCATCCATCACTTGTTGGTATATATCCTTTGTTGTGTACCCTATTGTGTGTGTGAGTGTTGTGTGGTGTTGTGTTTACTCACATAATTGTGGTTGCAGGTGTCGAGTCATAGCTCCTAGCCCTTCCTCTTTGCTACTAGGTCCACTTTCACCCTGCTCCACGAGCTTTTATTATACCTCTTCGGAAAGCTATGTATGGATCCTGCCTCCACTACACCACTCTCTAGCTTGTTCCTCTTCCTGTCAACTCCATGACTGAAAAAGTACTGCTAACATCCCTGTGACTCATCTGAGTCTTCAACTTCCTGCTGTGACCCCTTGTTAGTGTGTCACATCTTTGAAACATTCTGTCCGTATCCACCTTGTCAGTTCCTCTCAGTATTATATATATTATCATGTCCTCCCTATCTCTCCTGTCCTCTGGTGTTGTCAGGTTGAGTTCCTTTAATCTCTCCTTGTAGGACAAACCCCACAGTTGCGGGACTAGTCTTGTTGCAAACATTTGCACTTTCTCTAATTTCTTGACGTGTTTGATCCGGTGTGGGTTCTATACTGGTGCTGTATACTCCATTATAGACATGACGTACACGGTATACAGTGTCGTGAATGACTCCTTACTTAGATGTCGAAGCGCTTTTCTTAGGTTTGCGAGGTGCCCGTATGCTGCAGCAGTTATTTAGTTGATGTGCGCCTCAGGAGATGTGTTCGGTATGATGTTCACTCGAAGATCCTTTTCCTTGATGAGTTTTGCAGCCTTCTCCAATTTTCATAACTTTGCATTTGCTGGGGTTACTCCTTGAGCCATTTGTCGAACCAGGCTTGCAGTGTGTCCAGATCCTCTCGCAGGCTTACCTGATCCTTGTCCACTTCTATTCTCCTCATTAGTTTCACATCGTTTGTAAACAGGGACACCGCTGACTCTATCCCTTCCGTCATGTCACTCACATATACAAGAAACAGCACCGGACATAGGAGTGACCTTTGTGGAACCCCATTCGACACATGGGCCAACTCTGACATCTCGTCTAGTACCGACACACGTTTTTCTTCCTGTCAGGTATTCCCTGATCCATTAGTGCTTTCCCTCCTATTCCTACCTACTCCTCTAATTTTTCATCCAATCTCGTGTGTGGTACTGTGTCGAAACCCCTCTTACACTCCTAGAAGATAGTCTACCCACCCCTCTCTTCCTTCTTACTTCTGACCATACCCCCGGCCGGGATTGAACCCGCGGTCATAGTCTCAAAACTCCAGCCCGTCGCGTTAGCCACTAGACCAGCTAGCCACAATAAGATTCATCCAACTAGGTATATTTCTACACCATAGGAAGGTTAGCACAGGCACCTCTGTGACCACAAATGCAAGTTTTTACAGACGAATCTCCAGCTAGCGTGGCCGTGACGAACTCTAGCTGGATTCGTTGTAAAAACTTGCTTTTGTGGTCACAGAGGTGCCTGGCTAACCTTCCTATGGTGTAGAAATATCCCTAGTTGGATGAACTTTTGGGGGGAGCTGGTCTGTGGCTAACGCGACGGGCTGGATTTTTAGACCTATGACCGGGGTTCAACCCCGGGGGGGTTTGGGTTTGCTTGCAATCGTGTCATTACGTTTTCTTACTTCTTTACATTTCAGTCCGTGTTGGCGTCCGGGTCCTTCCTTTTAGGTCTTCCCATCTCCTTCCTGATAATTTCTCTATAACTTAAATACATACGTCAGCGACACTTGTCTGTAGTTTAGTGCCCCGGTCTGTTTTTTTAAAAATCCGGACCCATTTGCTGTTTTTCCCACCTTGGATCTGCCTGTTTCCATTGATTTATTGAAAAATTGTTGTTAGTGGCACTGTGTGTGTGTGTGTGTGTGTGTGCGGGGCGCCGGCTTTCCCAGGTGAAGCTACACCAGTACCCGACCAAAAAAAGGGATTGTAAACTGCCCTTTAACCCAGATTTTAGTTACACCCCTAAAAATTTTTCTTAAGTTCCGCAAAAGTTCATTTTTTGCTTAGCAAAATTGGCTCAATCTTTACCCCTGAAAAGAGAGGAGAGCGCGGAGGTAAAATCTTTTGGGAAGGAATGGGGCCCGTAGAGTTCCATCTCCCCCTGCATGAACGGAACAAACTTTTTTTGGTGTGGGAAACGTTCCCAGCTAGATTTTCCCGGTGAAACTAAGAACCTAAAATTCAGGGTCTTTAATCCCCGAGAGGGGCCCCAGAAGCAACTTTAGTCCCCAAACGCTTAAAAAATTTGGTTACTGTTGAAAAATATTGCGAAGGGCCCCCCATAACAGTTTAAAATTCAAGGGCCCCAAAAAATTGGTCCGTACTGGGTACCAAAAATTTAGCTTTTTTTATTTTCATAGCTGATTAGAATGTGGAGTTACTTTCGTTATTATTGACAGTTATTTCTGATAAATGAGACACTTGTGCAATATCTGGGAATCTTCAGAGGAAGCGTTTCGCCAGCCAGTGTCTTTTTCAGTCGAATACAGAAAAGATGGAAAAAGAGTAAGAGTTGGAGGTAATCAGTCCCTCAGCATGGAATTAATGTATTCAGTCCATCGATCTTGAAGAAAGTACTTCAAGACTGATGGACTGAACACGTCGACTCCAGGCTGAGGGACTGATTAACTTAAACTCCTCTTTTTCTACAGTTCTTCTTTGTATTGGACTGAAGAAGCCACTGGCTGGAGAAACGTTTCTTCAATAAAGATTCCCAGATGTTGCACAAGTCTGATTCTTCAGATTGTTAGTTTCCTAAACCAATTTATCAGTCATTTCTCCCAGACCGTAGACTGCTAATATCATATCCAGCTAATTGTATAAGTTAATTAAAGTTCGTAAAAGTTTAGATTCTTATAATCATTTTACATAAATGTGTGGATTACAAAACATAACTCTAAAGTCAACGTTATTTCCTTTGTAGTCCTATTACTTAATTATTTGGCACAGCAAATTATCAGTTATTAATAAAACAAACATTATTTGGTAATTATCGACAGTTATTTTCCCCTCAAACTGTATAATAAGTCACATCCCCAAAAAAGTATAACTGCTCCTTGACAGTTACTTTTCCCTCTTCTCATACGTTCAGTAGCATTTCCAACTGTTTGCACTATCAGTCACTTCCCCAGATTGTACAACTCTCTTATCTTCAGTTACTTACCTTTGACTGGTGTGTAGATGTTGAGGTAGAGACAGTCCTCGCTCTGGTTGGACAGCAGCGGCAGGAGGCGCTGGAGGTACTTAAACCTGCCTTCGGGCATACGCTTCAGCGCCTCTCGACGATTGGTGACATCGGGCAATTTCTGAGGGCATACTGGAGGCAATGTATCGGCTTTCCTCACTCCGGACCAGTGGAGCGGGGACATAGGGGGCATGAATCTCAGGTCCCCAACGGGAGGGGCAGCGTAGGGAACCCCGAGGAACACAGCCACGGGTTTCAGGGCTCTGTGGTTCGGGGTCACTATGAGACCTCTCAAGGCACCGTAACGGGTTGACACCACATGAGATGACCTGATAAACCCATCGACGCCCACGCTCGCTAGCACCACCGCCGCCCATGCCACTACCCCCGCCCACTGAACCCAACACACACACATCATGAAGTATTTCTTATTTCCAAACACCAGAGAGGTATATATTTTTAATAACTTTCAATGGATTCAAAAGTGTTTTTTCTAAACTTCTCGAAAACTTTCAATATTTTTTCAATTAATTTCGATCCCTAGACGGAGTCATCTATCACCACTATAACACAATTTTTTTCTTCACACTGAAAACCAGAGAATAAATGACTGTCGTCTCACAATAAACATAAATTTTCATATATTTTCACACGTGTGACACATTATACCACTTGGAAACAAATAAATATTTTTATACACTTATCAAGTGGAGAGACACTTGGACCACCGTCACACTTTTAGACACTTCAAACGTCCAAGTGTAACTGTTACCACACTAATTCACATTTTGATACACACACACACACACACACACACACACACACACACACACACACACACACACACACACAGTTGAAGACACAAATGAGTCAGATATATAGTAGGAAGTATTTCTTCAGTCATAAAGTTGTAAGGCAGTGGAATAGCCTAGAAAATGACGTAGTGGAGGCAGGAACCATACACAGTTTTAAGACGAGGTTTGATAAAGCTCATGGAGCGGGGAGAGAGAGGGCCCAGTAGCAACCGGTGAAGAGGCGGGGCCAGGAGCTAGGACTCGACCCCTGCAACCACAAATAGGTGAGTACAAATAGGTGAGTACACACACACACACACACACACACACACACTCACACAAACACGCTAACAGGCCTAGTGTCTAATCGACATGTGCCTAGGACAAAATGGTAACTAACACACACACACACACACACACACACACACACACACACATACACACATACACACACACATACACGGACAAAATGGTAACTAACACACACACACACACCTACACACCTACACACACACAACAGGCCTAGTGTCTAATCGACATGTGCCTAGGACAAAATGGTAACTAACACACACACACACACACACACACACACACACACACACACACACACACACACACACACACACACATACACATACACGGACAAAATGGTAACTAACACACTTAAGAAATTACTTGTATTGTCTTTCTACATGAACTTAGCTCTGCTTTTCTCTGGGGCTGTTCCTCAGCTAAGCTTTGATTCCAAGCTTTGATTCCAAGCTGTTTTTGAGCTGTGAAGACTGTATACACAGACTGGTGTGCAATTCTTTCAGTGAATAAATGTTGAAAGTTTATTCTGAGTTGTATGTCAAGTAAACCATACCCCCGGCCGGGATTGAACCCGCGGTCATAGAGTCTCAAAACTCCAGCCCGTCGCCCGTCAAGTATTAGAGTATCCCTGACTGGTGGTATCCAGGTGACAGCCTCAAAGACCCTCGTGTAGTCGAGAGGTTACAAACTCAGTAAACCAACCAATCTCAGCTATATCTCTCAGCTACGTTTCTGGACACAAACCCCTCGTGTAGTTGAGAGGTTACAAACCTACTAAACCAACCAATCTCAGCTATATCTCTCAGCTACGTTTCTGGACACAAACCCCTCGTGTAGTTGAGAGGTTACAAACCTACTAAACCAATCAATCTCAGCTATATCTCTCAGCTACGTTTCTGGACACAAACCCCTCGTGTAGTCGAGAGGTTACAAACCTACTAAACCAACCAATCTCAGCTATATCTCTCAGCTACGTTTCTGGACACAAACCCCTCGTGTAGTTGAGAGGTTACAAACCTACTAAACCAACCAATCTCAGCTATATCTCTCAGCTACGTTTCTGGACACAAACCCCTCGTGTAGTTGAGAGGTTACAAACTCAGTAAACCAACCAATCTCAGCTATATCTCTCAGCTACGTTTCTGGACACAAACCCCTCGTGTAGTCGAGAGGTTACAAACCTACTAAACCAACCAATCTCAGCTATATCTCTCAGCTACGTTTCTGGACACAAACCCCTCGTGTAGTCGAGAGGTTACAAACCTACTAAACCAACCAATCTCGGCTATATCTCTCAGCTACGTTTCTGGACACAAACCCCTCGTGTAGTCGAGAGGTTACAAACCTACTAAACCAACCAATCTCAGCTATATTTCTCAGCTACGTTTCTGGACACAAACCCCTCGTGTAGTCGAGAGGTTACAAACCTACTAAACCAACCAATCTCAGCTATATTTCTCAGCTACGTTTCTGGACACAAACCCCTCGTGTAGTCGAGAGGTTACAAACCTACTAAACCAACCAATCTCAGCTATATCTCTCAGCTACGTTTCTGGACACAAACCCCTCGTGTAGTTGAGAGGTTACAAACTCAGTAAACCAACCAATCTCAGCTATATCTCTCAGCTACGTTTCTGGACACAAACCCCTCGTGTAGTCGAGAGGTTACAAACCTACTAAACCAACCAATCTCAGCTATATCTCTCAGCTACGTTTCTGGACACAAACCCCTCGTGTAGTCGAGAGGTTACAAACCTACTAAACCAACCAATCTCAGCTATGTTTCTGAACAATACACACAACCGGGGAGGAGGTGAGGAAACTGCTGTTTGAGCTAGATAGCCGGTGGGATCAGATATCTCTCCGTGGGTCGTGAGGAGGGAGCAGCACTGTCTCTCACTGTTTCTCGACCGTGCTACACTGTCGACTTACAGTAATCTATTTTCTTTTAAGTACGGAATTTTCTCTCAAGTTTTACACATGACACTGGAAAAAGTTCTTTCGTAAGCTTTAATGCATATAACATACTGTAAATTACTCTTCGATATACCATTTTTTATAGTTTTCAATACTAATTATTCAAATTATATTTTCAATATAAATTATTCATATATAAAATATTTTCATATATATAATTTTCTTCGTTAATATTCATTATATATTTATTTCATTATTATATTATTTCATTTATATTTTTTCAATATTATATTATTTCAATATTATATTATTTTCAATATTATATATATTCTTCAATATTATATTATTTTCAATATTATATTATTTTCATATTATATTATTTTCAATATTATATTATTTTCATATTATATTATTTTCATTATTATATTAATATTTTCATTATTATATTATTTTCATTATTATATTATTTTCATATATATTATTTTCAATATTATATTATTTCAATATTATAATATTTTCAATATTATATTATTTTCAATATTATATTATTTTCATATATTATATTATTTTCAATATTATATTATTTTCATTATTATATTATTTTCATATTATATTATTATTCATATTATTATTTTCAATATTATATTATTTTCAATATTATATTATTTTCAATATTATATTATTTTCAATATTATATTATTTTCAATATTAATTATTTTCAATATTATATTATTTTCAATATTATATTATTTTCAATATTATATTATTTTCAATATTATATTATTTTCAATATTATATTATTTTCAATATTATATTATTTTCAATATTATATTATTTTCAATATTATATTATTTTCATATTATATTATTTATTATTTATTTCATTATTATATTATTTTCAATATTATATTATTTTCATTATTATATAATATTGAAATAATATAATATTGAAAATAATATTATTTTCAATATTATATTATTTTCAATATTATATTATTTTCAATATTATATTATTTTCATTATTATATTATTTTCATTATTATATTATTTTCATTATTATATTATTTTCATTATTATATTATTTTCATTATTATATTATTTTCAATATTATATTATTTTCAATATTATATTATTTCAATATTATATTATTTTCAATATTATATTATTTTCAATATTATATTATTTTCAATATTATATTATTTTCATTATTATATTATTTTCAATATTATATTATTTTCATTATTATATTATTTTCAATATTATATTATTTTCATTATTATATTATTTTCAATATTATATTATTTTCAATATTATATTATTTTCAATATTATATTATTTTCATTATTATATTATTTTCATTATTATATTAATATTTTCATTATTATATTAATATTTTCATTATTATATTATTATAATTATATTTTATTAATATATTATAATTATTTCTTTTCTTTTCACTTCATCTTTTCTCTTCTCTCCTTCTTATTATTACTCTTATTATTAGTAGTATTTTATTATTGGTAAAATTACCGACAAAATGTTAGGTAAAAGGCCACAGATGCAACTAATGTGGCATTTTATTATAGCAACGTTTCGCTCTCCAGGAGGAAACAGATTGACGAAGCTCCTGGAGAGCGAAACGTTGCCACAGAAAAATGTCACATTAGTTGTATCTGTGGAATTTTTACCTAACATTATAATTGTTTTCGGTAAGCTATAAACCCGTAGGAGTCGCACAGCGGCTGGTGGGGGAGGGGGGGATGAGAGACATTCGGGTTCGATCCAAGGACCGGTGAGGACGGGTTCAAAAACCCTTCGTAATATTTTTTTTTTTACGAATGTTTATGGTGTCTGAGAGATTAACGAAACAGAATGAGTAACAGAAGGGAATTCCTGTTGAAAGTAACGATAAAAGGGAATGCTGGTAATCCTGTTTTTGCGACGTTGGAAAACGGAAAGAGCGCAACGGTAGTCTGTTTTTCTTTCTAAAGCCACACACACACACACACACACACACACACACACACACACACACACACCGGGGCCAGGAGCCGAGTCTCGACCCCTGCAACTACAATTGGGCGAGTACGTACACGCACACACACACACACACACACAGTAGTCAGTAAGTGGAATAGTTTGGGAAGCGATGTAGTGGAGGCAGGATCCATACATAGCTTTAACCAGAGGTACGATAAAGCTCACGGCTCAGGGAGAGTGACCTAGTAGCGATCAGTGAAGAGGCGGGGCCAGGAGCTCGGACTCGACCCCCGCAACCTCAACTAGGTGAGTACTAGGTGAGTACACACACACAAACACAGACATGTATACAATGATCAAACATATCAAGAAACTTGATAATGGTAGAGGTTTGCAACATGACTAGTCCCGGAGCTGTGAGGAGAGATTAAAGGCGTTAAACGTAACAACACTAGAGGATAGAAGAATTGGGGGAGATATGATAACGACGTACAAACTACCGAGAGGAACTGATAAGGAAGACTGGGACAGATTGTTAGGGAGACGGGAAACAGGTACACGAGGGCACAGGTACATATGAGTCAGC